TTTTTAAAATTGGAAAGCCCTGAAAAGTTTCCTGTGGAATTGTATTCCACTGCCTTTGGAAAAATAAAATTTTATCAATGAATTACTTGTAAGCATGGGATAACTTTTTTGAAAATAGAACTTTGCTGCCATTCTAAATACAGAATTGGAAGAATAGTAGCTGCTCATTGGTATAAGTTTAAACTGAACTCCTCTTCCTGGCAAACTATTGTGGTGGGGTTGGCTCCAGAATGACCAACTGATAAATACCTTTGCTATGCATCTTAAGATTAAGGATGACAAAAGAAGTCCTTTTTATTCATACATTACGAAACTCTGAAGTGGGGGTAGGAAAGGTTGGTAAGGAGGTGCTTGAACAATCTGCACAATTGTTGTGTAATAACTACACCCTGAACACACCATGGAAAGAATGAAGTTACACTGTGCACAGTGAGTGATGAGTGATCTAAAGATATACAGTTTGTAGAAATGGTGGAATATAGTAAGTGTACTCATATGTGGTATTTGCAAAATAATTTTTTCATAATTTATTTTGCTTCAGATAAACAAGTAAAAGTCATACTTTTTTGAATTACGGTGTATCACTTGGCATCAATGAATTAGAGCTACAGCCTGGACTCAGAAAAAGTTTTAATTCCTAGGGTCCATTAAACTTGGTCTTCTGGAGCAAGATAAAGTTGTTGAGTTGGTAGTTATGAAACCCCTGATTCTCTGAGAGGTTTAAAAAGAAAATAGCCAATAAAGTGCTTTAGAGTAAAGGGCCCAGAGGCACTATAATGAGAGCAAGCCTTGACTCACTCTGTGGCTTTGGTTTTTCCCACCTTTTTCTAACTGATTTTCCCTGTAGGGCAGGGTGTGGGGATGCGGAGACAGAACATTTATCCATCATTTCCATCCTGAAGGGATTGCTACTCTGGGACCAGCAGTAGAAGCTAGAAGGTGACAGACAGTTGGTGTTACTTCCTCCATTCATATCTGAAGTCACCCACAACCTTTAAACTTTGCTTCCAACTACTGCAAAGCTTTCTGGGAACCAGCTGCTTGTCATTGTAGGACTTGAATGTCCACTGAAGAGGGTCAACCATGCCAGTCTAAACCAACTTCAAAACCGGTCAAAATGGAGCAAAAGCTTCCTGACATCAGCAGGATATTAGTCACCTGTTAGTGTCTCATTACGTAAATATAATGCAATAAATGTAATATCAAGACCTGTATTAACTCTTGTCCTGGGCTCATTTGTGTCATGGATCATATTTTTAAATGGTGGCAATTCAACATGTAAGGAATCTGAAATGTTAAGTCAAGTTTCTATTTTCCTGACTGAATTAATTTTGTTAATGCAGGTATGCAAATCAGATTAATATTAATCCAAAAGTCATAGCACACTATCATCTTTGGTCCATGAATCCCTTCGTTTTATTTATATTATTCATGCATTTACTTAATTTATTTTCTATGATTGGATTACTGTGTCCCAAATTGGTTTTCTATTGGCTTCTATTTTCTTCTTTATTAAATAAAGAAGTTAGATTTCCTGATATCTAAGGTCTCTTTCAGCTCTGACGCTCTATGAATGAGATGATGGCCTAAAACGTGTTTGGCTTAGTGCCTACCATATTACTTGTCTTTAATAAATGGTGGTTATCATTTAATAAACTATCATTTATTATTATCGTTAAATTTGACACATTTTCACTGCCCATTCTGAATCTGATATACTGGAAAACTGATTAGAATCCCCATAAATTTGTTGATTCTTCTACTGGACAGTAAAATTTCTAGGGACCTGTCTCTCCTTGGTCAGCTGCAAACTGTCCATTACCAATTAATCATTGATTCACAGAACCTCACAAGAGAAGAGATCTTAAAGGTCAATTTCTAACAAAGGATGAGGCACAGGAAGAAATGAGGGATCTCATACAGCAAACTCTTCCCAGAATAATTCCTGGTTAGTAAAGTTTCAAGATGTGTCCTATGGAGTTTGTGTTCACTTTTCCTTCTTCTCCTCAATTGCCTGGATTTCTGTTCATTTCATTTCACTGAAATTTTCTTTTAGAGCTGTGAGGGACCACGACATAGAGGCCAATCACCAGTGGGGCCCCATTATCAAGTAATATGTTGCTAAGTATAAGGCAGAGTAAAACTTAAAACTGTCTGGTTTCCTGCCATATGGCACATTTCAGAGGGAGAGTCGAGGGTCAAATTTATGTGACTACTCTTTGCATATAAAAAAGGAAGCATTTGTGCAAGTCTTGGATTTCAGCTTCTTTGCCAATGTTACCGATGGTTTTGCATTCATGATTACTATTCTGTCAGTTCCTTGTTGTTTGGCTACTGAGATACTGATAATAAGACTGACTGTGATAACCAAGAGAGCTTGAGTTCATGAAAGAAGATGTTTTTGCTGTAGCTGCTGATCCTTATCCAGAAGCTTCTTCTGACCAACTGGCTCTAATCAAATAAGCTAATGAGTTCATTAAGGTGGATCTCAAAGCAGGAAGCGGGATGTGCTTGTGCATAAGTGGGAGAGGGCCTTCTCTGGTATTATTTAGGTTTAAGAATCACACTCTATGAGAATGCACACAGAATTGTAGTGAAAGGAACTGCAGAAGCAGTGGGCAGTAAGATGAATGAAACTGCATTTATGTGTTTTAGTTGACAGATGAATGGGCGTTCCAGATCTTTTTTATTTTTCAAACAGAGCGAGGTTTTTTCCCTTTTAAATACATAAGCATCTGAATGAAAGAATATACCCTTTGAGTAAGCTAAATTCTGGCCCAGGGATTGGTTTACGAAGCAGAAAAGTGGTTTGCCCATTTCCTACCTCACTTTCCAATTCTCTCATGCTCAACCTAGTGAATGCTGTGTGTGTGTGCCAAGCAGGGCATGCTCACAGAAGGCAAGAGTGTTAGTGGAAAGAAAAAGAGAAAGACACCATGGAGAAAAAATACCAATGAGTAATTTTGCCACTCTTAGGAAACAACCTCCAGGCCTTTGGAAACCTGGTTGCAGTGATTCCTCTTCATTTCATTAGGAAGTTGAAGCCCAGAGGCTACAGGGCTTTCAAGATGGAGCACTTTGTGTGCCCTTGCAGTTATAAACAATAATGGCCCCAGAGAAGCCCACAGACCCTGCTTCCAACTTAACTCATGAACTACCTTGCATGGTCTTCACCTCGGCCACCCTCCTGCACATCATCACTGGAAGGGCTCTCCCTGACTTCTGACAGAAAATGCCCACCATGCAGATGCAAAGAAAGACTGACTGATGTATATACTGAGATTTGGAATCTTGATTGAGCTCTTCCCATCCCATCTGAAACCCATCAGCTGGAGGACTAGTTGAATAGCCCTATGCATAGATACAGGTGGTTTGAGTAGCAATTAACATGATCTAAAAGATTCTCGGCTTTCCTGACTCCAGATTGGGGACGGAGGAAAAGGTGTGCACAGAGGACTGGCCAGTAGAAAGACTGTACCAAAACTAAAGCCCAAGCGGAGTGCTTATGTTTTCCACCTATAAATACAATAACAAATACAATAATAATCACATTTACTCTAGCATTATTCAGAGAGTCTGAATCCCACAAATTCTTTGTGCCTTCTCTTCTTGTCCCTCTTTTTTCCTGTGTCTAGCATCATGCATCATGCCTGGTATATTCTAGGTGCTCAAAAGAGATGTGTTAAGTGGGTCAAATAAACCAACAAGTAAAAAGCATGTCCCTCTGCAAATGATTTAGTTCTTCTGATCTTCCACTTCTTCAATCAGTAATTATAATTGGTGAATTTTGACTTTTCAGCTGAGGAGAGAAGAGAGAAAAGTAAAGCCCAGGCAGATAAAAGAATCTCCCAAAGGTATGGGTGTGATGGGTTAATTAATCTCAAATACTTTTAACCAAAGTTTAAGAAGATAATGGGGGATGGGGAAAGGAGGTGGCGGAAAGGGGGACATAGGGATATAGTGAGTGCTTTTAAGGTCAATTGAATTATTTGATAAAGGGTAAATTTTCTTTTCACAAGAAATCATCCTGTGCCAAAAAAAGGCTGGGAGGTTGTTCATCAGAAGAGGGTTAATCTGACTGAGCTTGCTCCTGCCTGCTGCAGTTCACAGTACAGGATACCGTAATGAAGGTAGTGCAGACACTTCAAATGAACTTCCTCTGTGGTCCTTACTATATTGAAGTCTCTCACTGTTACAGGGCCGTGCTTGGAAAAGCAGGAAAACTTTCCCCTTCGTGGAAAAAAAGAAGCCCTCATCAGACTCAATGAAACGAATGAATGAATGTATTCCCTGGACCCCAAATCTCCATCTGCTTTCGTACCAAATATTCATAGAAACACCCTTCCTCAATTCCACGACTGGGATTTTACTCTCTGGTGGCGTTGCCTACTATCAGATGCTCGGATTCCAAAAGTCAGCTCGGCAACAGACTTAGCCTTGGAGCCACCGCGGTTGGCTTTTGCACGAGTCGGTGCGCCTTACAGTCCTGCGCGGTAGCTTCTCCTGCGAGCAGAATGTAAAATACACAGCACGCACAGCAGGTCCAGCCGTCCCAGGCAGCAGCCTAAAAGCATGAAGAATTAACGAAGTGATAATCTCTAGTTATTTCTTCGGCAATTGACACGCATGTGACCTTTAATACATAGTTGTTTAAGGAGGTTCAGAGCTAAGATGAATGAATCTTCGGGGCGCTTGACTCGAACGAGCGGGCAAATCTCTCTAGTCTTTCGGGAAGCGGAGGTAAATTAATCAAACTCCAGGAGGGCGGGGAGAGAACTGGGTGAAACCCCGACGCCTGATATCTACTCCTAGATCTTTGGAAAGACTCGCTTTTGCTGCCCGGGACCCTGGAGGTTGCAGTCCGGAGAACCCGGCGGCACTAGGACCTGGTTGGCGCTTGGCTGCGGCCGCTTTCGGGCGGGCGGAGGAGGGAGAGGAGGAGGGGGATGTGGAAAGGAGGGGTGTTAAGGGGGTGGGGGGAGTCATTTATGCAGAGCAGGCGCTGCTGCCATTGCCACTCACACTCCCCACGCGCTGCTCGGAGCCCGAGGGAGCGAGGGGAGCCAGCTAGCGGGCGCTTGAAACCCGAGCCAGCAGAGGGGGCGCCCGGCCGCTGCCTGCACCGCCGCCTCCGCCGCGCTCCGCGGCCCAGGGAGGAGCGAGGGCGAGGCGGAGAGTCCAGGAGTTGAGCAGGGCGAGACCTAACTGCGGGAGGGCGCCGGCCCCACTCAGCAGCCTCCTGCACCCGAGCTGGGGAGAGCCCGCTGACCGCCTTGCGGGCCGGAGAGCAGGGAAACCGGGTCCCCGCAGTCCTAGGGATGGTCTAGGAGCTGGCGCGGGGGTCGCTGCTCTGCTCCCCGCCGGGGCTCGCCCCCTCCTGCTGATCACCCAGGGCTGCGAGCCGCGGCGGCCGGGGGCTGCGCGCCTGGGCGGCGCAGGCCGGAGAAGTTAGTTGTGCGCGCCGTTTAGTGCGCGGAGCGAGCCAGCGATCAAGGGAGGCAGCGAAGCGCTGGGGCCATGGGCTGGGGGAGCCGCTGCTGCCCGGGACGGCTGGACCTGCTGTGCGTGCTGGCGCTGCTCGGGGGCTGCCTCCTCCCCGTTTGCCGGACGCGCGTCTACACCAACCACTGGGCAGTCAAAATCGCCGGCGGCTTCCCGGAGGCCAACCGCATCGCCAGCAAGTACGGATTCATCAACATAGGACAGGTAACGGCAGGCTGGCCCGGCACTCGGCCCTGAAGCTGCCGGGGTGTGGGGAGTCCCCCACCACCTCGCGCTTCTTGTCCCCTCCTTGTCAGTTACCCCTCCCCCTCTTCCAGATGTGTTGTCCTATAACTCTGGAGCGATTCTCTCTCTCACACACACACATACCCTTCCTCCACGCCCCCTGTAGCTGGGGGTTGTGTTTTGTTTACTTGTCTTTTTTTTTTTTTTTTTTTTTTTTGCAAGCCACTAGGGACAGGTAGGGTGTCTGGGAAAAATCCGGTGTGTGCATATCCCCGTGGTGGTTTCAAATCCGATCGGACCTTTTGGCATCGAAAGTCTGGGAGCACCACAATCCCTAGTCTTTGGGCGGGGGCGAGTGGGGGGTGCGAGGTGAGCGCGACCCTGGTGCCGGCTTAAGGTTTCTGAGAACGCGAGGAAGGGAAAGCCTTTCCAGCTCAGTTGTGAATTTAGCCCAGAAAGTAGTTTGCTCTTCTTGGGCGAGAGAACAGCTGGTCTCTGGAGACTCAGGAGGCGTGGGGACCCGAACTGAAAGGGAGGAAGAAGGCGGAGAGAGGGAAGAGGGGGCCGGACCTGTTCTGAGCGCAGATTCTGGGGGAGACCTCCAGGCTTCCTCGCTTCTCGCGTGGTATCCCTGTGGGGTGGGGGTGAGGGGTTCCTGGATGGGGAGACAGGAAACTTTCAAGACCCGCTGACCTGGTGGTGCTCTGGGGAAGGAGGCAAGCCTTCCCCCGGGGAGGGACGTGCTGGGCCTGGATGGAGGCGGCGCTGTGGGGCGAGAGTTGGGTGGGCTGCAGGGCGGCGGGGTTTTTGTGAGGTGTAGCTTGCGGGCTTTCCTCCAAGCTGCCGGCTGAGGGGACAGTGAGTTGAGTAGTGTTACGGCGCTGATTGGAAGCGCAAGATCTGGAGGTACCTCCGGGCTAAGAGTGGCCTCCTCACTCTTTTTCCTGCAAGAAATGGCGTGGAGAGGGCTGTGTACGTGGGTCCCAGAAAGTGCTCCCTACCATACATCCTGTCCCTCGCTTCTCCCGGCCGGGCCAGACACTGGCGAGACTCTGCTGGGGGTGGAAGGCGAGGGTGATGGGACCCGCTCCCGGGACTGCTGGGGATGCACGCGCCCTTCGCGCCCTGGGCAGAGGGTGGTGCCAGCTGGAGCAAGAGAGCACAGTTTCTGATGCCATTGCGCTCCACGTCCAGGAAGGCAAGCCCTGGACCGAAAGGACCCTCAGCTGCTTGGAGGACACGGCACGAGAGAGAGGCAGAGCTGTTGTCGCCGCGTTTAGCAGGAGCTAGGGAGCGCTGCGGGGTTCGGAGGAGCTGGGGCGTGTGAGGTCTTGCGCTTTGCGGGTCCAGTCGGAGAACATGTTCCAGAGAAGCTGGTGCTGTGGAGGGCTGATACCTGGGCAAGTGTACGGTCTGTAGCTCCCACATCCCCCACCCGCACCCCCACACAAACCTGGAGGGCAGGAAGGGAACCAGCCAGGTTTTGTTGCCTTCGTGCCTGTCGTCTTCAGGAGAGGTCCATTCCAATGGCTTGTTAGGATTCTACTGGCTGCTGCTTTCTCTGGGAGAAAACACTGGGCCTGTTCAAATCTTTTTACCTGAACTTTTAAAGTTGGGTGCTGCATGTGATCCCGGAAAGTAATTGGGAAGGCTAACAGTGAAAGTAGGTCTGTTAATAAACTTTTCAGAGTGGCTTCTCTCAGATTCAGCTAATACTGAACATTTCCCATATACCAGGCTTATTTAGAAGTGTAAGTTCTTGAACATATACTCCTTCTGTTAGGACTCCCCATCCAGGCCTATGCATTCATGGATCCTTTCTTATAGGGAATCCATCCACCCCATGGGGGGAAGGAGGAAGACAGTAAACTCCCATTTCCCTGGATTTTGATTTAGTGGCTCAGTAGACTAGAAACAAACATACAATCTTAATGCATGGAGACTTAGTTCAAACAGACTGGACTCCTTGAATCTCAGAAGCTTCAGGACTTGGAGCAGAAACACCTGTGTCTTAATGAACTTATTAAACAGATTAGATACTGCAGAACCTGGCAGAGCCAGAGAGCACACTCGCACCTAACCCACTTTAGAACAAGCTAATGTTGCAGTGTCTTGCCAATTGGCTCAGCTTTTTACACAGGGCCCTCCAATGGAGATCCATGGCTTTTCATCGAAAAAGTAATACAAATAAAGTTTACATCCAAATAACACCAAACACTATTTATTGTGGTTTTTACAATGCCAATGAGGAAATTTAGTGCTTATAGAGGTTCCAGAGGACCCCCTGAATGGATGCCATAACCAGTGTGAAAAGATCAGCTGTTCTTACAGTGGAAAGCATTTCCTCTGTAGATCAAAGGAGAGTAACCCTGTGCTAAGTCTTTGGGGTGGCAAATTGAGTTCACACATGCAATATCATTGCACTGTAAGGGCCAAATGTATTTATTTATCCTTTACTGCTCTGACCTTTTAACACTTTAGACATCCTTTTGCTATTCTTTCTTTCCATCAATAAACCAGCTGTAGTTCAATTCAAGGCAATAACTAATTGGCAAATGTCTCTCCTGTTATTACCCTTTTGGGCTTGGGGTCCCATCTTATGTGTCACAAAAGGGAATTGAGACCTGTATGGTTTCTGAAGCTATTTAATATCATGGTGGCATTTTTGATAGCTTCAGTATAATATTTTAGGTGACTGAAGTAGAGCATTTTCACCAAAGGAAAGGTACAGTTTTGACTGTCAGCATTTCAGTGTAATATTTTGTATAGCATCTTAGCATTTAAAAGTCACCAAAGATAAAATTTCTGGCCTGGAGAGTTCTATAGACAAGAATAGGCATGTGCAGAATAACACAAGAGCAAGCAAGCAAGCCAACAAATAGGTAGAAAGGGTGTGCTTGGCTTCCTGGAAGGGAATAATCGTGAGGGTTTTCTTGCTTTTGGTTATAGAGATAGCATTATGTATTGGCTGGTCTTCACATAATGTTAAGATTTTGTGAATGAAATTTGAATTCAAAATTCTGAAATGGTGCTGTAATTATTAGCAGCAGCTGTCCTTATGTCCACATATGTCATAATTTGCTTGGTATTAGTGTCAGCTGAAGAATGCCCTGATTTTCTTTCCCTACAAGCTCTGTCTCTAAGGCCTTTTAGGATCTAGGATGACTGGCCCCCACCAGGCTGTCTGAGGGTAGGTGTGCCTGTCTGTCAGCATGCACAGGGACTGAAGAAGAGGCCTTAGTTCTCCCTCACCAATTGTGTGCTCTGACCCTTTGAGCTAACAGTGTGGTGGTGACAGGATAGCAATGACATCAAGCAGTAAGACCTGACATAATGTTAATTGTGAACCTCTGTTTGGACTAAGTTGTAGATTAGTTTTCAGTAGAAACTATTGATAGTTTATGTTTTATTAGATTATAACTAGGAGTGATTAATTTCTGATTATTTGAACCCAGGGATAAGGTTTCCTATGAAGGTTGTTTGCAATGTGCCACAGCTGTATTGTATTTATCCTTTTGTGACTTGCTTAAAATCCTGATTCCAAGTTGAGATTACCAGTAGCGAAAACTCCTTCGCAGACCATGTAATGTATCTTGAGCAAGATTGCAGAAGGGTAAAGCCAGGTGCAAGCAATTCTGGGGAAAACTGTTATCTGGTGTTCCCACTGAAAGCATAGACTTGAAAACTCCAGAGATGCCACTTGCAAGGTCTTTGAAAGCAGGAAAGTCACTGAACTTAATGGAGCCCCTGTTCCTTCATCTGGAAAATGATAAATCTCTAGATAATAGAGTGAGTTGACTATGCATTGCTCAGCACATAGTTAGGCTTGCAGTGAAAAGATTGTTGAATCTGAAATAAGTGAGATTCAAACTTTATTTAGATAGTAAGGAAGACTGTTTAAAATGGGAGATGCGGAATTTGAAGATCAGGAAAATAAATTTTTAATGGCAGAGCATAAAGTGATAAAGCAGAGCTTTGTAGGTATGGAAAATAGTTTTCCATTTCAACCAACAATTTAAAATCATTTAAAAATAGTTTTCTGTTGACTTCTAAACAATTCTGACTGTTTTCCATGGCAGTGCCCTCCTCCCTGGTTGATCCTTGTAGTCCATTAAATATTAAAGGATAAGCTTGCTGGAGTTGGAAGAAAGGGGAGAAAATATCTGAAGACTGATTGTTTCATAAAGCATCTCATTTGGTGCATTATATTCGAGCATATTTGACTTTATATTTTACATAATTTTGAATATCATTTCATATTAGGAAAGTTAAAAGCAACATTTTCCAAAGATCTTGAGCAGGAAGAACCTTGTTCAGCAATATCCCGAAGGTTGATGAATTTTGACCCGGGACAATTGAAATGTTTGTTGATAAACAGTGGTAAGTGAGTTCTGGGTGCCCAGGGATAGCACTGGAATTAGGAGATGTGGCTAGTCTGATGGGTTGAATGAGAGTGGTCTATGCTCCCCTAGTTAAATACTTAGGCATTTTGTAAATAGAAAAATAAATGGATGTGGGAGTCCCAGGGTTGATGCCTATGTGAGATACATCTGGCTTTGCATAGGGCTACTCCTTGCACCCAAGAACCTTGGCCCTGACCTCTGCTAGCCACTCTGACATGCATAGTTCTCACGGGCAGGGAACCTTTACTGGAAAAAGCAGTTCATAGTACTTGGCTTGATGATGGTGGGTCTGTTGCATTAACCTCATAGGCAAGGAATGGCTTATATGTGGCCATTGGGATTTTCGGGGTCTATTTGAAATGAAAAATTGCATTTTTGTGAGCCCAAAGGCAGCTGAATTTGCCTTATCTCTATCTTTCTTGAACTTATATCCAGAGATCCTAACCTTAAAGGTCAGCCAGAGAAGCAGGGCAGTGTGCTGGGAGAATGGCCAGCGATGTCTGACTCTGGTTAGCAAGGGAGGGAGTCCTGACGCAGAAACATCCCCTGGGCGGGGAGTGGTATTCACGTTGTTAG